CGGAGAATGTGGCCAATCTAGTTTAAGGTACGCAAGGGGTGACATTGACATAATTATTATACAAAAGACAATGCCGGAAATTGGCGTCTTTTTTTTTCACGCGGCCATCGACCAATCCTTGTGTTTTTATTACAAAATAGTGTAATAAACCAAACTTACTATGACATGTATACCTCTAAACTCAGTCTGAACTGAGTTACGAGCATCAGAAGTTTGATGATTTTCATACTAGATTTGCTGTTTGCGCGCAAGTTTTGTAAGAAATTGCAACAAAATAATGACATTGTATGTGTAAACAAACAATACCATCCATTAAAGGCTCCAGACATCAGTATGCAGCAGAATCAGCGCAATAAAAAATAGCGCAATATTTTGTTGAAATTTCTAACAAAACTTGCGCGCAAAAAGCAAATCTAGTATGAAAATCATTAAACTTCTAATGCTCGTAACTCAGTTCAGACTGAGTTTAGAGGTATACATGCCATAGTAAGTTTGGTTTATTACACTATTTTGTAATCAAAAAGTTTGGTCGATGGCCGCGCGAAAAAAAAAAAGACGCCACCTTCCATACAAAATCTGGCATTGCCATTTGAAACATCTGAAGTCTCGCTGACGTTTGACATCTCAAAAACATCTTCCAGTGCCACTCGCATACTCGGCACTGACTGACTTAACCGCTAGACATAGATATAGTCGAAAGTAACAGTAAAATAACTGTCTGGTTTTATGTCATACTGTCTGCTTTTTCGTTTGCAGCCAAATGACGTCCACTGCTGGACAAAGGCCTCCCCCAAGGATTTCTATAACCGGTCAAAAAAAGAAGAAAAATGTTACTGTTAAGTTACTTTTATTAAATAATAATAATAATAATAGTAATACGTTTATTTCAGACCATTATGATATGATATCAGAACAGAGTTGTGTTAGTAACAATATTATACTTAAAATCTAGGTTAGTAGTAACATACGAGTAAATCAGTCAAAAAACCATTAAACCATTAAAGCACTAACATTTAATTTTCTGTTTGTTGTTACTTAGCTGATGTTAGAATAAATAACTCAGGTTATTTTTATTGTATAACATAACTAGCGACCGCCCGTGACTTTGGATTCCGTTTGCCCCCTTAGGGGTTGCATTTTGCAAAATCCCGTCTTAGTGAGCACCTACGTTCTAAATGGAACTCCCATGCAAAATTTAAGACTCCTAGCACTTGTAGTTTCTGAGATTTCGTGATGAGCTAGTGAGTCAGTGACCTTTCGCTTTTATAAAAAAGTATTCGTGACTATACGAATAGACTAAAAGCTAAGTAATCTACAAACAGAACCTAAAATCGTTTGCTCAAAAGATATCTTAAGTTCTTTCAATGACCAAAATCCGAGAAAATGATAAAAAATATATTTAAGATAAGTTAAAATAGAAATGGGCTCAGTTTATTTCCACGAACTTCAACAGTTATTTTTGATCATTACTTCTCTTGTTTTATTAATTTACTGTAAACATCTGATTTCATTATAATAAACTAGCTTTTGCCCGCGGCTTCATAAGCGTGAAATTTTGTTTGTCACAGATCGTTATAAATTATAGCCTATATGTTATTCTGGGTTATAAACAATAATGCTGTAAAGTTTCATCAAAATACGTTCAGTAGTTTTTGCGTGAAAGAGTAACAAACATCCAGACATCCAAACTTTTGCATTTATAATATTACTAGCTTTCCGCCCGCGGCTTCGCCCGCGTGGAATTTTGTCTGTCACAGAAAAACTTTATCGCGCGCGTCCCTGTTTCAAAAACCGGGATAAAAACTATCCTATGTTCTTTCCCGGGACTCAAACTATCTCTATGCCAAATTTCATCAAAATCGGTTGCGAGGTTTAAGCGGGAAAGCGTAACAGACAGACAGACAGAGTTACTTTCGCATTTATAATATTAGTTGGGAAGTTGGGATAGTAGCTGTATTAGCAAAACTAAATGATATTTTAAACTTGAAGTCTAATAATTAAGCTTTTCAATACCATTTATGAAACATACACAAAAAGTCTTACGATAATGATTAAATGTGTAAATAATTATTAACTTACACATTTAATCATTATCAAATTCTTCTTGGACCATAGGTTAAAATGTATGAATAAGTAGTTCTCAAAAACATCTTTAATCTAGGCAAAGAAAGCCGAGCGCATATTGTATGCAATCACTGTTTTTCTTATAATATTAGTTTTACGGCCATATTTTACTGAAACTGTTACGTTTTTACACACGGGCGAAAACGACGCCTACGGCAGAACTATTTCGTTATAATCTACAATGAATATGTATGAGAGGTAATACTTAAACAACACTATGGCATCTTAATAATATGTCGTTGTTTTTTGTGTTATTTTGCTACCAAAATATGTAATAAGTATTACGCCCATATTCGAACGAACAAACATACAGCAAAACGCTGTACGTTTGTGAATCGAACGCACAGCGTTGAATAGAGCTCTATGATTGTTTCGTGTGTCCACGCGCACTGTGAGAACTCATAGTAATGTTTGTTAATACGGGCGTTAATCTAGTAGGGACAGGAGGTAATCGAGCAGACGGATCACCTGAGAGTAATTAGCCACCGCCCACAGACACTCGCAGCCCCAGGGGAGTTGTCGGCCTTTAAGGTAAGTATAAAGGCTTCGGCAGACCAAACGCGGGGCAGTAGCAGCGCAGTTTGAATGTGGGCCCGCGCAAGTTGTAATACAAGAAACTCCTTAAAGTGTCACACCAAATTTGAACGCGGGCCCGCGCTCCAACCGCTACGCGCCGCGCGCCCCGCAACTGCCGAACGACAAACCAGGCGGCGCGGGAGCGGAACAGAAGCGGCGCGCGAGCGCGGGCCCGCGCTGTTGTATTACTATGGCGGCCATATTAGCATGACTCCGGAGGCAGGGCGGTAGTAGTGCAGCGCAGCGCGTTGAAATCGGTTTACGAATATTGTATTTTTTTACAACCGCCCGCGTTGCAACTGCTTTGAAACTGCCGCTGCCTTCAGTGTGCCTACTGCCGCGCTGCAACTGACCCGCACTGCTTCTGAGCCGCGTTTGGTCTGTGGAAGCCTTAAGTAATACGAATCTTCTTGAAATATTGTAGGTTATATTGGTCCGGAAATACCGCAGACGACAGTCTATTGACTACGAGTAAAGTTCTTTGTTTGTATTACAAGTAATTTGCGATGTCCCTACCCCTGTAGCTATGTTATGTATGCTTGTGTTGGGACTTTGGGAGTGAGTTCACTACAATACTTTTATACAGGGTGATTTTGTAAACAGTATACAAAATTGTTTAATAAGATCTATGAACAATCTAACAATATCTAAATTATTTTTAATCGTAGTATTTTGCGCAAAAAAATATTGAACATCTAATTCGCGGGTGCCCATATCTTAAGTTTAAAAGTTTAAGGCTTATTTTCGCGCACCATTATGTTTATTAAGCTTTGCAGTTACTTATGTGTGCGTATTTTTCCATGAACGAAGTAAATTATCCACGTGTGCCAATTGAAGGGGTGAGTGGACAAAGGTCTTAACTAACAAAATGAGTTATGAGTGTTTGAAAGTGTTAATCTGCTCATACCACATTTGAATCCTGAAATGTATGAATGCTTGTCAGATAATACCTTTGTTAAGGTTTGACACGTAACAAAATTGCGTGTTTTGAGCTCATTAGTCGATTTTATCATCACTTAAAACCTATGTTAATGCAAAAAAGTCGATTCTTCAGTTTTGTCAGATAACACCTTTGTCCACTCACCCCTTCAATTTTGAAACCGCACGCAGCGGATAACAATAATTAAATATGAAAAAAAAAAGTTTTCTTTACGGAAATCGATTAAGTTACTGATTCTGAGTCGCTCCTAAAAATTTGGATACCTACTGATTGCAAAGTCACCCTGTATAACTACAGTTCGACAGTCGAAGGGGATTGAACTATGTGGTTTAATCGATTTTGCGTGGTCAGCTCACTAATCCCATATGAATGTATCTTCTATGTACTTGAAAATAGTTTTGAATTTACCAAAATAAAACTCATTTATTTCTGTAAATAGGCTTAAAAAAAGCACTTTTACACGTCCCAGTATTAACCCTACCACTGCTTCAGGACAATAAATGGGCCAGTGCTGAGAAGAAGCAGCGCAAGAAACTCAGTCACTATTGTCAGCCTCTTTTTCAAAGGTTTACAGGCTTTAAAATGTACAAAGTTATTATTATAGACGCCTTAAGGCGATCTCCAGTTTACTATTCAGAAAATTAGGTTTGGAATTTACATTCCATTCCAAAAGTTAAATTACTGGAATTTAGACAAGGTTTGATTGGAATTCTGGAAAGCCTCTTTTTAAATTAATTGTTTCTTTGAAATAAATAAACCGTTTAACAGGTGTTAATAAACACTTTCTTAGAAATGTAAAATAGATTCGAGTTTTCAACAAGTATTGTTTATTTTAGTTATTTACTTTGTGTAGCTTACAAACCGATATAAAAAGGAGACGCTGGTACCTGTATTGTGCTAAAAACCATAGAATAATATAAGATTGTAGAATCTCGAAAGGAGACAGAAGAGAAGATAGACAGAGTTGAGACTAATTGGCTGACTTAAAAGGACGTGTGTCTTGAATCAAGACAGTGGCACGGGACTATTCCCACCTCTCGTTCCCACCGCTGCAACTCTTGTGTAGACAGGATCTACAGCTTGACTGCCAATAAAACCCGAACCAGTGAAGGTCAAGTTTGTCCTTGGGAAAAGTCGGGTTCAAGCCCGCAACGAAATTAATCAGAAAAACATAGGAGGAGTTCAATGTTCCATTCAGTGGTAGTGAGGACATGTCGAGTTCGTACTTTACATAAGCCGTTATCCAGCGCATCTAGAATTCTGGGTGAAGTTCACTTCCACCTTAGCTTTGGCTTAATCGTTACTCTCCGCCTAATCATATTTTATTATCTTTGATGTTTATATGGAAGGTCACACTTACTCTGCTCTGCAGGTGCCAGCTTGATCGTTTCAGCTTGACCAGGTATCTTCTTGTTCTTCCAGAGAACCATGACGATCTGGTAGTACGCCACTGTCATCAGAGTTAATGGGATTCTGCAACAATAATAATAATTAAATCTATATTTACAAAAGCGAAAGGTCACTGACTGACTCACTCATCACGAAATCTCAGAAACTACAAGTGCTAGGAGTCGCAAATTTTGTCCTTTTAGAATGTAGGTGCTCACTAAGACGGGACTTTGCAAAATTCAACCCTTATGGGGGTAAAACAGGGTCCACGCGTACGAAGTCGCGGGCGGTAGATAGTGATAGATAAAACACTGTATTGTGCACCACATAGGACAGGAAATGAAAGAATATAGCATCTCGCCCGCCTAAATTGCCTTTTTTGTAGGGTATATACACAAGAGACGGTAGGATTTAGGCGGGCCTATCGCTATGAAGCGATGTCAATTAGGATTCAGGGAGTTAAATAAACCTAATTCTGTCGCAATAACAACCATGGTAAAAAGCATTGTTGTGTTTTGACAGTCCGAAGGATTAGCAAGTTGAAGTGGCAATGGGCAGGGCACATAGTACGCAGAACTGACGGCCGATGGGACAGCAAGGTTCTGGAGTGGAGGCCGCGTACCGGAAAACGCAGCGTGGGACGTCCACCCACAAGGTGGACCGACGACATCATAAATGTTTAAAGCAGGAAGGCGCTGGACGCAGGCCGCTACCAACCGGGCAACATGGAAAGTATTGAGGGAGGCCTATGTTCAGCAGTGGATGTCCTGTGGCTTAGATGATGATGATGATGATGTGTTTTGACAGTGGGAGGTAAGATAGCCATTTCCTTCTGTGGTTGAGGATTCCAGTTGAAACTTTCTTCCCCGTAGTAAATAAAAAAAATATATAGCATTGCCTCCGCGCCGGGTCTATTTCTAAATTAAAGCTCACAGCAGACTGATCAACTCGGAAAGGGATCAACACCGTATCGCCTTTCGCGAGCTGTCATCGTCTTTCGCGAGCTGTCATCGTCTTCCGCGCGCTGTCAACCGCGAGGCGAGGCGTTTATGTTACGGTGCGGATAAGTGTGCATTGCAGTATGAAGTTTCATACAAAGAATAGGTACTGACCGGCTCGAGTTGATATGGTAACGATCCCTTTCCAGGTTGATAAATGTGACGTCCTTTAAGATAGGTCAAACAAACAAAGAATTCTTTGTGCAATAAACGTTTTTGTTGTTTTCTGTGGTCACTCGTGTCCATTGTTTGAATTACAACAACTACCTGCGAGTTTTACCCCAAATGAAGGGACCAGCCGAACCCTGCCGCAAATATTTACATTTTCATCAAGGAAAAGTGTTGTACAGTCCGCTGTATTTTCGGCAATCCGTTTATTTTAGTAACGAGATGTTTTCATTCAGAATACATATTTTATTTAGATAGTTTTAACCTAATACAAATATTTGACATTAGCTGTGTTCCCGACTTCGTACGCGTGAAAATAGTTGCATAATATTTCCCGTTTTTGCAACATTTTTCTTTACTGCTCCGCCTATATTGGCTATAGGATGATGTTATATAGCAAAGCCTTCCTCAATGACTAGGCTATCTCACAAAGATAATTTTACAAATCGGACCAGTAGTTCCTGAGATTAGCGCGTTCAAACAAACAAACTCTTCAGATTCATTATTAATACTTATACACTATCGAAGTTTCAAGCTAATACAAATATTTAACATTATTTTGCACAGATTCACTGCAATGTAAAGATTTTGAAGTATAGGTTTTGAAGTATACGTTTGCTCTAAACACAAATCTATTTTTAATCAAAAGCTTTTGTGAACCGTTAATGCGTGGAATTATACGCCATTACGTTGTTCTCCACTAATTTGTTTACGTACAATCCATGATTAAAGGACGAAACACATTTATCAACCCGGGAAGGGATCGTCACCGACCAACTCCAGGCGGTCAGTATTCTTTGTATGAAACTCCATACTGCAACGCACATTTATCCGTAATTGTTTAGATGTGACGCTTTTACTTAGTTAGTTAGTTAGTTTTGTAGGGCAATCGAATACCGCACTTAGCCCCATGATTGGGCCATTGTGCGCGATTTGTGGTTTATCTTCCTACTCCAACCACCCCAGATCCCCCCAGAAGGCGAGCAGCCCGTCTAGGCTGCTGCAGGCCTCCTGTAGCGACGATGGTGATCGAAGAAATTGAGCCCGTTGTTCTTCCACGCTACTGCACTCCATGAGCACATGCTGCGGTGTTTCCTCTGCCTCCATGCACCCCCTGCACAGTGGGCTGTCTGTAACACCTATGTTGTGTAGGTGCTTGTTTAGCATACAGTGTCCGGTTATGACACTTAGGACCTTGCGGATGTTGTCCTACGCTTTTGCTTTTACTTTTACTAAACGCTTCGCCTCGCAGTTGACTCACCTGCGAAACATAAACATGATGACAGCGCGCGAACGGTGATGACAGCTCGCGAACGGTGATGACAGCTCGCGAACGGTGATGACAGCTCGCGAAAGGTGATACGGTGTTGATCCCTTTACAAGTTGATAAGTCTGCTATGACCTTTAGTCTTTCACGCAAAAGTACTAAAGGGATTTTGATGAAACGTAATAGTATTTTTGTGTACAAATTAAAATAACATAATATATCGATATTGAGTTATTACAACGACAAGTCAAAATCAAAAATCAAAATCAAAAAATATTTATTCAGTTTAGACCACAAGTGGCACTTAGGATAGTGTCATGTCGGCCGTTATAATTATGAAAAACTTAATTTCAGGCGGTCGAAGCTTCAGGTAAAAGCTAACACTATGCGTAGGCGCACATTTGGCGACACGCGACTGCGACAGCTTGGCGACTTTCGCCCGTATTCACAAACATTACTATGAGGTCTCACAGTGCGCGAGGACGCATAGCGTGACACACGAACCAATCACAGAGCTGGTGCACCCTACACCTATTGACTTGAGAGCTTTGTTTATCATAAACATAGATTCTAGTATTACAAAAATGAAAGATTTTAAGATAAAATTTCCGATTAATATCGGATATTATATCTTCAAGGACTGTCAATTTAAAGATTGATTTTTATCCAAAGGATATTTTTTATTTTTCAAGATCAAAGAATTTCATTTCCGGACCTTCCTTTATTTTACTTTTATAGGAACCTTAAAAAATCAGGATTTTAGGTATAAGATGATTTTCGTATTTGTAAGGAAGTTATTGGCAATACTGGCTTTTCATAATTTCAAGTAAGGTATTAATTGTGAATGCTAGTATTTATTGGCAGGCCTGTTCATCTCCGCGAGTTTACATCGAAAACAAAACACGCACGATGGCCCCCTACAGGATTACTATTCGACAAGGCCTCACATACGAGCGAACATTGACTCACGCACGCGTATTCTTGTGTATGATGGAAAAAATAAAGAAAATGGTGTACTAAATACTGTGCAGTATTTAACTGCCTAAATAATAATAAAAACACAGAATGTACTTTTTTAAGTTACCTGTATCTTCTTGTTGTGTCGACAACAAACCTACACAGTGTCAGCCCAAAACTCCGCCACAAGAGTCGCGTTGTCAGTAGCCTTCATTAAATCATCCTGCGTGCAGTTGTTTGGGCACGCAGGGCACGACATCATGTGTTTCGTCGACTGGGGAACAAAACCACACTTGCGCTCCAAGTTTGAGCCATCCAAGAATCCCCACTTAAACAGATTGTCCTTACTACGGCCGACCTGCGTCCGAAGTCTATTTAAAGACTTTCAGGATTCCGAGATTGAATCATAACAATAAAACTGAAACGGTTTCTCTCTTCATTTGTAATATTTATAATAGCTTTTACCCGCAGCTTTTCCCATGTTTAATTTAGCCTCTCACAGAAAAACTTTATCGCGTGCGTGCCTGTATAGAAACCGGGATAAAAACTATCCTATGTTCTTTCCCGGGACTCAAACTGTCTTTATGCCAAACATCAAAATAGGTTCAGTGGTTTAGGCGTGAAAGCGTCAAAAACAGACAGAGTGACTTCCGCATTTATAATTATTAGTAGGGATTCTGATTTCTGTGAATTCGATCTGTCTACCTGTTACGTTTCACAAGACATAATCCAAGCTAACAGGGGCCCCAAATTATAATGAGTTGTCATATTAACGCTGACTGTACGAAGGAATAGCGTTTTGATTTCACAAGGAAGTGCCTTGTTTCAGTTGGGCGATAATGATCATTTTCGGCTGCGTCTAATGACTTCCTACTCATATTTAGGCCAGTGTCACACTTTGGCCCCAATATTGGTCCAACTCATCCAACGTGTGGATCTAGAATAAGGATTAAAATAGTAAGACACGGGTCTTAACGCGACGTTTATTAATGAGTTACATTATGTACTCACGGCTTGACGTTTCGGCTGCGATGCTGCAGCCGTGGTCACAAGCAGATTGGCGGTTCGCGGCGTCGTCCGTTCGGGCGGGCTATTTTAATTGAAATGGAACGCGAAAGTTTAAAATCTAGGATAAGGATGCTTGAACTTTTTTTTTACTGTAACGCTCTACTAGGACTTTGCCTAGCTACTAATGAGAATGATATACTTGATTTTTTAACATAGCTTCTAATAAGATTTTAATCTTTCGCGTTCCAATTCACCAAAAATAGAGAAACACGGGTCTCAACGCGGTATTTTATGTAGGTACTGACTGTGCTTGACTTTTCGGCTGCTTGTTGCAGCCGTGGTCACAAGCAGATAGTGGTCAAGCCGTTAGTACAGTAACACAAATCAAAATGTCACGTTGTGACCCGTGTTTCTCTATTATAGCTTCTCAAGTTTAGAAATACAACTGTCATCTCTTTCTCTACATTTATTTCGATTGCGTCACGACGCCCTTGGGTATGCCGCACAGTTTTGGTAGCCTCCTGATATTATCCCAACATTCGGGCCAATATTTCTAGATGTGGGTCCAAAATTGGGGCCAACGTATGGAGCCGACCTTAGCCTCATTCATTTAGTTAATCAAACAGAAATGGGTAAGGCATGTAGGTACATTTGAGTTCAAAACAAATTAATGATTTCGAGCGTAAAATCCACTTTGGACGAACTTGAACACACGTGTAGTGAACCCATAAGTTATTCTGTAGCCACATAATATTGTAAACTAGCTGACCCGGCGAACTTCGTACCGCCTTAGCGTAGAGATTTTCTTTAATTTTTTTCCGTAAAAACCTTGTACAGAGTATTAGAAAACTACAAAAAAAAAATGAGCCAAATCGGTCAAGCCGTTTTCATGTTATGTCGTGACAACGGAAAACGGGTTTCATTTTTATATACAACGTGTCCCAAAATTCAAGGATAAGCCGGCGCCGCAGGGTGGACCTAGTCATGACTGCTTTAGGAAAAATAAGAAAAAAAATCTATCTCAATTATTTTTTAAGTTACACAATAAATTATGAAATTCGTCAAAAATTGACACCCCTTGTGATATTTTACATTACCACGACTACAATTTTTCAAATACTTCAGTTTTTTTGTTTGTATCGGCAACTTAAGTAGTGCTGCTGTCCACCCCAATTCTTAAAACCCTCAGAATCCTTGCAGTTTTTACACAAAAGTGAATCAAAATATGATATTTCCTTAAAATTTTAAACGATTTTTACTTACACTCCACTTTGACTCGTCGTTTTGTAAAAAAACAGTATGAACACTACTGCGGCAAGTTTTTTATAAAGTTGACGCAACTATCCAAGATTCCGAAATGGTATAATACTCTAAGAAAACTAGTCGCAAAAAAGATATGCGTACCATTTTTACAAGCATTTCGCTTGTAAGTTAGTATGAGATAAATCTTGCAACTGAATTTAAAACCAGTTCTCCTTAACCAATTGAGCTGAAATTTGGTATACTTGTGTAAGTACGATGACAATGCAATATTATGGTACCATTGAGCTGGATGGAGTATGGAGGTGGCCATAGGAACTCTTAACGAAACGGCGGAATTACATCTAGTTTGGGTTCGTTGGACTTGTCTTTTCGAGCACTTTAGTGCTAGACGATGTTCAGGGTCCTGATGATGAAGTCAAGAGGTGGCAGGAGCTGGCCATAGGAACTCCTAAACGAAACGGCGGAAGCTTATCGAGTTTGGGTTCGTTGGATTTGTCTTTTCGAGCACTTTAGTGCTAGATGATGTCCAGGGTCCTGATGATGAAGTCAATTATAATTTTCAAACGAAGTCAAGCTTGTTTTTAAATAAGTTTTTTTTATTACAACTTTATTTTAAGCTTTTTAGTTGTTTCTCAATCTCATGGCCTAAGTGCTCGGGAAGACAAATCCAACGAACCCAAACTCGATAAGCTTCCGCCGTTTCGTTTAGGAGTTCCTATGGCCAGCTCCTGCCACCTCTTGACTTCATCATCAGGACCCTGAACATCATCTAGCACTAAAGTGCTCGAAAAGACAAGTCCAACGAACCCAAACTAGATGTAATTCCGCCGTTTCGTTAAGAGTTCCTATGGCCACCTCCATACTCCATCCAGCTCAATGGTACCATAATATTGCATTGTCATCGTACTTACACAAGTATACCAAATTTCAGCTCAATTGGTTAAGGAGAACTGGTTTTAAATTCAGTTGCAAGATTTATCTCATACTAACTTACAAGCGAAATGCTTGTAAAAATGGTACGCATATCTTTTTTGCGATTAGTTTTCTTAGTGTATTATACCATTTCGGAATCTTGGATAGTTGCGTCAACTTTATGAAAAACTTGCCGCAGTAGTGTTCATACTGTTTTTTTTACAAAACGACGAGTCAAAGTGGAATGTAAGTAAAAATCGTTTAAAATTTTAAGGAAATATCATATTTTGATACACTTTTGTGTAAAAACTGCAAGGATTCTGAGGGTTTTAAGAATTGGGGTGGACAGCAGCACTACTTAAGTTGCTGATACAAACAAAAAAACTGAAGTATTTGAAAAATTGTAGTCGTGGTAATGTAAAATATCATAAGGGGTGTCAATTTTCGACGAATTTCATAATTTATTGTGTAACTTAAAAAATAATTGAGATGGATTTTTTTTCTTATTTTTCCTAAAGCAGTCATGACTAGGTCCACCTTGCGGCGCCGGCTTATCCTTGAATTTTGGGACACGTTGTATATAGATTGGACACAATAAATTTCCTTGTATAAAATTACTTCGCCTCTCTCAAAAAGGAAGGAAACAAACTTAAATATTTATTGAGATTGTTTTTATTTAGTGCAAAATTCAATACAAACAAAAATACCTCAAATGTTTTTATTTAAACGAATCTGCGACCAAGCCAACATTATTGTAACTATTCCACCACACAATCACAATAATTTTATTTTATGGCCAATAAATTCTGCCATTGAGACCCAAATGAAAATGAAATGAACTATTCCTCTTCATTTCTATCAACAAATCCATCCGCACTAATATTATACTCGTAAATCCGAATGTAGATAATTCTGTCTATAACCTTTTCACCATTACCTGGCCCACTAGACTGAATAAGATGAAAGGTACAAAAATAGTGAGATCCAGGAAAAAAGGGAAGTTTTAATTTTGGTTTTAAGGTTGCAACACTATTAAAATTTCTGTTCTGTGATAAAAATTCAAGCGGACAAAGTCGCGGGAAAAAATTAGTGTGCCATAATTGATTACAACAACAATCTTGTCTTAATATATGTGTAATATAATAGATAAGATGTTCATAATAGAAACCAACCAAAAAATGTAAAAGGAAAAATAATTTAATAATGAACACTTACGTGTAAATAAACAGCACCTTCAGCACGTGCCAAATCAGCTCGTTCTGGGGCGACCAATTGGCCATGCACTGCACGAGGTACTCCATGTCAAACCGAAGAGGCACTGACTTCACTGTCTCCAGCACCACCAGGTCTGGAGAATCTGTGGGATAAAATGATATTAAATCCACCTTGTGCAAAAGTAAACCCAACAAGCAAAAAAGGTAAATAAAACCTATTCACTAATTTGGATAATAGATGGCGCTGTGCTTCGTTAGTTCGCGCTAACATTTTGATTTTTTTTCCGGACTACTATTACTATACCTACTTTTTGTAAATGTACGACTGCCCTACCAGAGGGCTGAGTGTGAGTTTACATCAAACGTCATTGTCACTAGTGAGCGCGTTTAAAAAATCTATGAAGATTTTAGTTCTTGAAAGTATCCGCTAGGGGCGCTGTACAATCCGTTATACATTTAATGCATTTTTTAAGCGCTCACTAGTGACGACATAATTTGATGTAAACTCACAATAATTTGCTTTGATTTGCTTGATCCTTAATAACTGATGCTGTGATGCCTCTATTTAAAAATACCACCTCGCTATCGTAATAGCACGAATAGCGCTGCATCGTTACTTTGTTCGTTCGTTTCAGCCAAATGACGTCCACTGCTGGACAAAGGCTTCGCCCAAGGATTACTATAATGCCCGGTCCTGCGCTGCCCGCGACCTTCAAGTACCAGTGGATACCCACGCTACGTCTTAAAACCCGTGGTAGCCACTCGAGAAATTTTCTGCTCCAGCGGCCATCAGCTCTACGAGCTATGTGCCCCGCCACCACTGCCACTTGAGTTTCTCTCCTGACTATCTTCCATCACCGAAGAACCAGATGAAGGTTAGCGTACCATCTCTAAATTGTCGACATTCCACCAAATCGCACTAAATTTTCCAACTCTTAAAATGCGAACAGTTAGGGACTGGAATTCGTTGACCGATATCTTTCCAAACATTATAATCCGGGCCTTTTTTTTCTCTCTTTACCTAACATCAGTTGTAATTGCGGTCAAATACCTGTCTTTGATGTATAAAAAAAGAAAATAGAGTTCGTTTGATTCGAAATTGATTGAACGACAACAGAGAGGTACAAAGGACGCATTCAAAGATTTCCACAGCTATCGGGCGCTGCCCGTATCCACGCGCTTCCTGTAACCTTCGTCATTATCGTCCGTCCACTTAGTTAGAGCAGAGTAAATACAAATGAGTAGGTCATCTTCATAGAAACGCACCGAGCGCGGTTTGTATGTGAGCGTGCCAATATACGTATGCGGCGCGCACGTACACACTGACAAAATTCGGCGCACCTCACCGCTAATCACCGCTAAATTTTGTCAGTGCGTGCGCGCCGCATACGTGTTGGCGCGCTCACATACAAACCGCGCCCGTGCGTTCCTATGAAGATGACCTACTCATTTGTATTTACTCTGGTTAGAGGGAGGCAAATATTGCTGTATCTAGGTGACAAAGCTCTATTTTGTCGTATTAATAGCCCAACTGTTGGCAAAATCGGTCTACCGATTCAAGAGTCGCTAGTTTATTTCCTATCCCAACTAAATCCAATTCCAATCTACCGCTGGACTATTGTGTGAATAACAGATAGGAATCCTAACACAAGAATAATTTGCGCATAGAAAAATCTAGTATACTTCTGTTCGTTCGTTCGTTTCAGCCGAAAGACGTCCACTGCTGGACAAAGGCCTCCCCAAGGATTTCCACAAAGACCGGTCCTGCGCCGCTCGCATCCAGGTACCTCCCGCGACCTTCACCAGATCGTCGGTCCACCTAGTGGGAGGCCTGCCCACGCTACGTCTTCCGTACATAACAATTATAACTAAAAAGTTTTATTTGGTTGAATGCGCCAATTAGGAATAAAGAAGACAACAGGCTATACGAGTACAACATCACGTTACGACCGATCGAAGAGCAGAGTTACAGTGATAATTTTATTGTAATAGAAACGATAATTAATGTGAACAAGGCACACGGTTTTCGGGGTTGCAAACTTCATTGTAAGTATAATTGATATAATTCTCTCAAGCAACCTAACAACACAAACAAATCGTAGATATATAGTTACGCGTTTGCGATGTTCGATGCCAATATTGACTGGACTATTTACTAAAATGTATACTGTGACCGGCGGACAAAGCTGCGGGCGAAAACTAGTACACTATAAACCCAGATTCGTCAAAAAGTAGGGCAAAACGGTCGAATTTGTTTATAATGGTTGACACAGCAGGGCGCGCCAATCGCAATCTATCAAAGAATATCGAAGACAGTTTTCCTTCCTAGTAAGTTACTTTACTTATTCACTGCTTTGGGACTTTATAAACTTATTTTCTTTATCTATATTATGATTGTTGATATTGTGATATCCAATACGAGTAATTCAATAGATATTTCCATTATTAGTTGTTTTCGTTTGATATTTGATTAAGGTTTACTTAACGTAGTCTCTTTCAATAAGAAATATAATTTTGTTTTATAATAGTAGCTGTGCCCGCGGCTTCGGCACGCGGTACGCGTGAAAATAGATTGAATAATATGTTTCGTTTTTGCAACATTTTTCTTTACTGCTTCGCCCTTATTAGTTGTAGGGTGATGTTATATAGCCTAAAGTCTTTCTCGATAAATGGGCTATCCAACACAGAAATATTTTACAAATCAGACCAGTCAGTAGTTCCTGAAATTAGTGCGTTTAAGCAAACAAAGAAAAAACTTTCATCTTAACCTAATTAACCTGAAACGGTTACCGTTTCGTTTAGGAGTTCCTATGGCCACCTCCCAACTCCATCATCAGACCAGTTCGATGGTACCATAATATTGTATTGTCATCTAATCTACATATAATTGCCAAGTTTCATGACGACACAAGAATTAGAAGTGCGTGTAATTCATGTTCTTAGATTCCATTACATACTCGTAGTTAGTTACATACACGACGACCTACAAGCGTGTTAATTAAGCTAGTAATTAACATTTTACTTTAAAGGAATTGTTAAACCTTGAGATAGTTCATTAGTTAGTTAGAAATAATTAATATCTTTCAGAGGTGGAACCTGATAAGATAGGACTTCAAAGCAAAACGTAGTTTAGTTAGAGAATAATACCTATCTGATTCCAGTGTAAATTTTTAATTAAAGTCCTTTGAACAATCTTCTATTTCTGCCACTAAACAATCAATGTCTGGAACTACTAAAATTAATATGAAAATTATTTTACCCATAGAAAGACAACTAAGTGACATCCTATTAAGAAAATAATCGCGAGAGAAGCCGTGAGCAAAAGCTAGCTCGTATATTGTAACTCTACAATAGTGGCAGAGTTTTATAAACCAATAGAATCCAACAATATCGTATTCAATTTATGAACCTATTTCAGTTTTACTGATGACTTCGAAACTACTTAATGGTTTTTGTGTGTATTTATATCATCCAATAACAGATTTAGATAAAAATGTGAGATTTTGAAAGATAGACGACCGAGAGAACATCAATTTTCACATACAAAAGTGACGAGACGTGAAGTGACGTCACTATTTTCGTCCCTCGCATGACTAACTATACTATCTCAGTTTTGCCACTTTCTCAAAACCACGGGTTTTCAGTTAGGTCATTTCAAATTTAGTTTCTGTTTATACTTTACGGACCTCGTGGGAGGAAAAATAGGTATAGACAGATACGTGAGTTAGAGAAAATCGTAAACAATGGAAGCAGGAAAAAAATTGTAGTCCGTTAGGACTTGAGTCATGCGAGGGACGTTTTGTCAACTAAATGAAACTAATTTTTCAAAAATCTTAATTTAGAGGTTAATTTAAAATTAATTAAGTTTTTAAAACCAGACTGAAGTGTCTTTTTAAAAAAAGTTGTGATTGCGTATTATTGGGGAATGGCGTCAAGTAGTATATTGTTCTATCTAATCCTTAAGGATTTGGAACCCTAAATCTAAATTGGAAGTTTGATTGGATTAAATCTTTGTTCGAGGTCTGGTCAAGACCAAAACACTCATTGGTGTACTGGCTCCAAGATTATTAGTGAAAATACCAACCAAATTGCGAACGCAAAAGCAGATTTGTACGAACTTTTGCTAAGAGAACAACCAGCGAACTAACTTGCTAACTAGCAAAGGTAAACCTGTATGAGAGCCAAAACTTTCTTTCTAAAGGCTAACGATCTGCCTTTTCAAGAACTTTTTGATTTTGTTATTGACCGTATGAAATTGTTCGCCATTATTTTGCGAATTAGTTTATCGTAAAATAAATCTTATTGAGTTAGGTACCTTTTATATTTTACCAGCGGCCGCCCGTGACTTCGTACGCGTGGATCCCGTTTTACCCCCTTAGGAGTTGAATTTTGCAAAATTCCATCTTAGCGAGCACCTACGTTCTAAAAGGAACCCCCATGCAAACTTTGAGACTCCTAGCACTTGCAGTTTCTGAGATTTCGTGATGAGTGAGTGAATCAGTCAGTCAGTCAATCAGTGACCTTTCGCTTTTATAAACGTAGATAACATAAAATATATAAGACGAGAAAATATGAAAATATGGTGGGTATTATAACATCAGGGGCTTATTATAATCTCACCTAGCGCAAAAGTAATAAATGTGTTTTTAGAACTCTAGATTGGAATAATGTATTAGGTATGTAGAGTATCGTACAAAGACGCAATATAGGAGAATCTTCTCAGCGATGAGGAAATAGAAGCGCTTTGACAAAATATGAACATTCTACACATTGTGAATATTGTGATATTACATTTCGTGATCCCTTCAAGTAGCGTTTACTACCGTTTCATTTCAGGAATTGCTACCTTTTCTTGTAAGTGCTTAGTTACTTCGCTATGTAAATGCCCGTGAGGCTGTCAGATATTTACATCTATGTAACTTTGGTGTACACCTAGTTTTATTTAATATCAAAGCCGACATAGCCCGCAGAGAATTGCTAAACTTGAGTGGCAGTGGGTGGGGCACATAGTTGATGGTTGTTAGAGCGGAAAAGTTCTTGAGCTGAACGATGAAACGAAAGATGCAGTGTGGGATGGTCAACATGGTCATTCCACTCGGTGGTTCAACAGTCTAAAGCCTGGTCCGTGAGCACGTAGAATTTTGTCTAATGACCCCAAGCTACCCATCCTTATCGCTCGCGCGTAATTATGTTGCTATCGCGCTCGCACACTCACTGCGGGCGCCCGTCGCACAGTCTAGACAGCAATATAATTACGCGCGAGCGATAAGGGTGGGTAGCTTGGGGTCATTGGACAAAATTCTACGTGCTCACGGACCAGGCTTTAGTGAAGATCGCAGGAGGCACCTGGATACTGGCAGTGCAGGACCGGTCGTTGTGGAAATTTTGGAGAAGGCTTTCCAGCAGTGGACGTCCTTTAGTTAAACTAAAATTATCAAGGATTGTCTTTAAGGTACTAAGCTAATTAGTTATTTACTTACTGGATGTCAGCGTTTGAAACTACGATGAAAATATTAAAGATGATCTTTATTTTATATTTGTTTGGGATAACAAACATTTGCAAATGATGTGTTTTAAGATAAAAGTAATTTAGAGCCACAGCAGACATTCTAATTCAGCATCGGCGATCAACAATTTTGCGACTGTATTGATGCAGCATCGCGATTTCGCGACTTCATGCATTCGGATGGGGTATTGGAATCGCTGCATTGAGCATCGGAAAAGCGACTTAGTCGCCGATTACCGATGCTAAAGTAGAATGTGCGGCTTAAGCCTTGATCACACATACCGAGTGATCGGCCGAGTGCTCGGCCGAGCAAAGCGGCGAGACAGTAGCTCGACTCCCGTTCTACTTACTAGGCCGACCCTCCCGCTTCCCCGCACTGTCTCGCTCGCTCGCTCGGCAGGTCTGAACGTGCACTGTCTCGCCACTCGACACTCGGCCAAATGATTGACGTCACGTCCACAGATTAGAGAAAAAGAAAAGTCTCAAAAGTACCTACTGCACTGACTGTGCTAATTTCAAAACACGCGTGAACAGCTACTCGTTTACATCATGTCGGCCGTTTGGTGTAGTGGTTCAGAACGGACTACTATGCCGAGAGATCCCGGGTTCGATTCCCGGCCGGGCAGAAATTGAAATGATGAATTTTAATTTCTGTGACGGGTCTGGGTGTAAATATGTATAATATGTATGTATTTAATAATAAAAATAAATAAAAAGTATATAAGTAGTATATCCGTTAAGCTAGCACCCATAACACAAGCATTGAGTTGCTTACTTTGGGGCTAGCTGGCGCTGTGTGAAATTGTCCAAAGATTTTTTTTTTTTTATCATTGTCTCGACCGAGTAAACATTTTAATGTCTCGCCCGTTTACTCGATACGTGTGATCAAGGCTTTAGATACTTACTGAAGGTCAGCGCGATGGTCCAGATGATGAGTATGGCGGTCTTGGCGCGGCCGGTGGTGGACTTGAACTTGAGCGGGAAGCAGATGGCGTACCAGCGGTCCACGCTGATGAACGTGAGTGTCAGCACCGACACCGTCACCGACACCGACTGCCGACAAAACATCAAGTCATAGTTTAATTAATACCAGAGTAAATATAAATGAGTAGGTCATCTTCATAGAAACGCACCGAGCGCGGTTTGTATGTGAGCGCGCGCCAATACGTATGCGGCGCGCACGCACACACTGACAAAATTCAGCGCACCTCACCGCTAATCCACGCTAAACTACCAATGCGACACGCTAAAATGACCTACTCATTTGTATTTACTCTGGTAACAGTCTCTCTTGTTAAAATCAAAATCAAAAATATTTATTCAGTTTAGACCACAAGTGGCACTTATGAACGTCAATAGAAAATAATAAAAAAAGAAAAGGTAGCCCTTATGGGGCACTTTACATGTCTCCTTATCTTTTGGGCCCTACCAGCGCTTCGAGAATCGGGCACTCTTGTCAGAGTGGTCATGGTTGCGCTGACGAGGTACATGGTGGGGTGATGTCATCTCCGAGGGTAGCTCTCCTGGCGATGTGCTTCCATTTCTGACGGTTAGAGGCGTCGCGAGTACACTGGACCATGGTGGACTCAGTGACCTTCGTGACGGCGTCTATCCAGCGGGTATATCAGTGCCCTGGGGCCAAATGGGGACCCCATTTTAATATTTTCCCCAGGGCAGGGCACTGTTATCTAAAATGGTTAGGTTTTATCAAGTTTATTGACGTCAGCTTACTTAATCATGATACAGCATTAATATTTTGACCTTTCTCTTCTTTTCACAATAAAACGCACATCGATGAATAATAAAATACACATATCGCTATCCGTCAAATTGCCAACACTGACACTGCCAACCGACAGAAAGAATTTACCTAAATGTTTTTTTAATGCTTTTTATATTTTTGCCTTGCCTTGCGAATATGGTTACGAATTAAAAGGGTAGGAAGTGCGGTTGTTATGGTAAATTCTTTGTACTTGTTTTGTACAAAAAACAAAATATTATGGCGTTTTTTATTCCTTTTGCATTTATACCCTTTTGCTATTGTTTGTTAAAGAAACATTTTTTTTGACTTGTGATTGTTTTCAATCGTGCGTACTTTTATCAAAGAATATTAACATATTCCAAGAATGGGTAAATATTTTTTAGTATAATATATTAGCAAGTCAAATTCAGTTGTGAAATATTACTTAGATGTTAAAGTAAAACCTATATTTTAATGGAAAGTTATTCGGTTAGTTCAAACAAATATTATTAAATTATACCTATTGGTTGAATTTCAACAAACCACAAACTGTTATTTTACGATCGAATTTGATCTGAAATGGAACTTATAATTGAGTGATGTCCGTTTTCACTATTAATCCCTAATTTTTAAGCGACCCCGATGGTAACACATAACTGAAATTTTGTTTTTATGTTCTCTTCTTGTTTTAATCTCAAGGTGCTACCCTAAAAATAGATTTGAGACAATATTTAGAAAAGCTTTGAACATCGTTTCGGGCTTTAAGGAGCTTAAAAGCTCAAAACAGGATTGAGGCCGTGGATTGGTTTTTATATTTATGTTATTTAAGACTGTCTCAGATTGAATCGACTTTGGAAAGTTATCTATACTTATAATAAATCTGTAAAGAGGTCAATTCTGTACATTAAATATATTTTCAAAATAACTATCAGGGGGTGATTAGTGATCGATACTGATGCCAAAAATGCAATCAGTAAAATTTTTGTCTGTCTGTCTGTCTGTCTGTCTGTCTGTCTGTCTGTCTGTCTGTCTGTCTGTATGTTCCTTATAGAAACAAAAACTACTCGACGGATTTTAACGAAACTTGGTACAATTATTCTTCATACTCCTGGGCAGGTTATAGGATACTTAGGAATTCCCACGGGAATGGGAATTAGCAGGAAAATCGTTTTGTATGAAAAATCTGAACCGCTTAAGTTAGACGCTTGGAATTCGGCATGCAGGTACCTTAGTAAACTTAAAGCTTAGTTACAACAGGATATTGCAAAATTCCCACGGGAACGGGAGTTAGCGGAAAAAATCATTTGTATGAAAAAATCTAAACCGCGTAAGATAGATGAAGGGGGTAAAACGGGATCCACGCGTACGAGGTCGCGGGCGGCCGCTAGTTTTGTAATAATTTTAACCTCTCGCTTAAATTTTGCCTTATTAAGCCTACATCAAAGTAAAGTTTAACTTCCTGTTTGAGTAATTATGGTCAGTTAAACGGAATAATAACTTTACCTATATGTAGAAAAGTTAAGTTTAAGCGAATTTGCATTTAGCTACAAAATGGTATCTTATGTAGTTAGTTGTAATAAGTCTGATTTTGCTACATTTGATATATTCATTCCGAAGCGGTGGTAGAGCTAGCTATACTATTTGCGACGTGTATGAGTGCCCTGGAAAGGGCCTATGTACTGAATAAACCATTTTATTTATTTATTTATAATTTTGAATATTGATTTTGAAACGCTTTATACACTTCCTTATTTCTAACCAAATTATAGCTTTTCCTCTACAAATCAGGTAAAACATGGAAGTTTATTTAACTTGAGAAATGATGGCTTTCCCATACAAACTTATCCGTAATTTGTCCCTGTGCAAAAGGCGTCCTTCCTAAAGTTTAATTTATTGCTTTCCTTACCAAAAAAGAAAAAAAGAAGTATTCTCTAACGCCAATTTAAAAACACAGACGAGCTATTCTCGTGGTTATGACATACGTATAAAAAAATCACAAAGCTCATTTATTTTCTGTAAGTAAGCTCAAAGAGCACTCTGACTGTGACTCTGATTGATGTATGAAATTGAACGGCTGAATAATATTGAAATCACAGTCGATTGCCTATTGTTATGTAAATAAGAGAACTGCTTTTGAGAGCACTGAAATTACCCCCGCACCGTTTGAGTTATTTATATTTGTCACTCATAAAAATAGGTAACATAAAGGTGATTCATCATCATCATCATCATTTCAGCCACAGGACTTCCACTGCTGAACATGGCCTCCCCCAATGACTTCCACATCGCCCGGTTGGTAGCGGCCTGCATCCAGCGCCTTCCTACTACCTTTATGAGGTCGGTCCACCTTGTGAGTGGACGTCCCACGCTGCATTTTTCGGTACATGGACTCCACTCCAATAATTTTCTAAAAATAATTTATCCCAAGAATGTGTACAGAATATTATCGAAAGATAATTACCTATATGTAGGTACTTATAAGAAGTCTTATTGGCTTTCTTAGACTTTCACATAATAAGGAAAGCAACCTCAAAAACCATATCAAGGAATTTCATTTCGTAACATTCCCTAAGACCCTGTTTATGTTTTTACACGCCTAAGTACCAAAGTATCTCACGATATTGAAATGTTTTGCCACATATTAAAATTTCCTTGCAAATAAAAGTCAAGTCTCTTACCTGGAAATAGAGCAGCAATTTGCACAACACGTTCCCCAAAAACCATGTCTCTGTCACGTCCCATAGGACTGTAGGTGGAAGGCAGAATAGGATCACCATGAAGTCTGCTACCGCCAAATTCACTATGAAGTAATTTGTGACAGTCCTCATGGTGTGGTTTCTATAAACAGCTATGCACACTAACGCATTGCCCACAAGTCCAATTATAAATACCACTGTGTGCGTCCCAATCAAAACCCATTCGTAAGTTTGCGGGTAGATGTAATCATTTAACATGGTCATGTATTCTTCTTTGGTCATATTACAGTACTCTTCAGAACCCACACATTCTTCTGTTTTATTAACTTCAACATTCAACTGTTTTAGCTCACTCTGTTCTAATTTACTTATATCTTCTACTTTTAATTCGTTATCGTCTATATCATTAGCTTCATTAACATAATTGGGGTCTAATTCATTGTTTGTTTTCATTCTCGTTTCATTGGATTCTTCATTAGAGTTAGCATCAACAGTACCGTGGGTTACGATTAAAAATAGACCAATGACTACAATTACGTTCGTAAACATTTTTCTGTTTTTATAAATGCTTTTCCGTTGGGCTGGCGACTTGTTTTTCTACCGCATTGTACATCTGAAACAAGGAAAGAATTTTTATTAGATGTTGGGTAAATGTTTGTTATGTAAACAATGTCTATGTGACATTTCACACAAGAAGTATGTTGTATTAATTATAGCATACACATAGCCGGATAGCAATTATACAGTGACAATAAGACATATTTGCTCAGCTTGGCGGGACATTACCGCTATCTTTTTATCGATTATTCTAAAAAAACTTGATGTCTCAAAGGATGTAGACTAAGAGATAGTGAACGCCAGACCTACGTCATTTTATAAAAGCTGAAAGTTTGTCAGCGTATGCTCCCAATGTAGGATATAATGTTGGTGAATAATGAAGTTTGGTCCATCGTGGCTTTGGCAGCTATCCTAAAAAAAAGTCAAAACTGTCTTTCTGATGAAACTACTTCTAATTATTGCCCAAATATTATAAATAAAAATCAGATTTTATGGTATTTAACGTTAGTAGAATTACAGTCTATTGAATATACAGAAAAAGCCACCGTAAAAGTTAGCTGCCAAAGCCACGATGACCCAAACTTCATAATTCACCAACATTGTATTCTATATTGGGAGCATACGCTGACAAACTTTCAGCTTTTATAAAATGACGTAGGTCTGGCGTTCCCTAGCTCTTAGTCTAATGGTTCAATGTATAAGAAGACACGTTAAGGTACAGTCAGCGTCAAATAGTTCGTGACACCCAAAGTAGCCAAAAAGATCGCACTTCTTTGCTCCAATTGGATAAGGTTGTGATATCAACATTTTGGCAAAATAGGACAAGAGGTTCGTGACCTTGTACAAAGTTTCATTAGAGGTCATTCAGCAGTTCCTTGGCACTCCTCTTCCAACGTTGGACCAAACGTTTGGAATGCTGATGGAAAGCGAAAAATTATGTTTACAGTAATATGTTTACATTACAGCGCGTTAATAGACAGAGGACAAGCGGTTTGGGCGTAAATGTAAACAAACTTGTTTTTTAGAATTACACTACATTGATATTCTTGATATTTTCTGTAATGATCCTATTAACTTCCTAATTACATCGTAAAAAACTCATTTATTTTTGCATACAGGGCAGATAATATGTACCATCCTAGACTGCATCTCACTTAACACCAGGTGCGATTTCGGTCAAATACCTGTCTTGTCCAGCATAAAAAAAATAGGCTTTTAAAAAGCACTTTTACACGTCAACGGAGACGGAACTTCCTAATTATTTTATTCAATAATGACCTGCTTTTCTTGAAAGGGTATCAAAAGGTATTTGACGAAATCAAGTCTTTTGTTAACCTCAACATATTTTTTAAAATCTTCCACTGAGAATTTCGTAACAATACATAATAAGTACCTAATATCAAGGCAATCCTACTTAATAATAATATAATAATAATATTATAAATGCGAAAGTTTGTGTGGATGTCTGGGTGTTTGTTACTCTTTCACGCAAAAACTTCTGAACGGATTTTGTTGAAACTTTACAGTATTGTTGTTTATAACCCAGATTAACATATTATAGGCCATAATTTATGACGATATGTGACAAATAAATTTCAATAAATAAATAAGACGTGTCTAAAATCGCCATCTATCTTCATTGGTTAAAATCTACAGCGCTGGACAAACTACTGTTTTTGACGTTTGTAAATATTCATGCGGGGGAATAATAATTAATAAACGCCATCTATCAACATGATATCTAACAACAGATTTTACGAACTAAGGCTGAGTTGCACCAACTATTTTTGACAGTAACTATGACGATAACCGGTGTTTTTTGTATGGGATTTGTCAGATTTTTGACGTTTGTCAAAGTTAAAGTAAGATGGTGCAACCCAAACTTAGGGGGTAAAACCTGTGGTAATACGAGGTACACGCGTACGAAGTCGCGGGCGGCCGCTAGTTAGTAATAATTTAGACCTTAAAGGTACGGAACCGACTTTCGACAGTTAAATTCATTTTACTTCGGTTGAGTGTTTTATTAAGTAGGTACTCATTTATATTTCGCATTTCCGCCATTAGTGAATTTTGTGTCTTTCTCGGAATTTGTTTGTAAATCACGCGCGCCTCTTCTCAATTAATTATTGATTTTTGTAAAATTATTTCCGCGACATTTGGCACTGGTAAATAATTAAGAAAAATATTCTGGCTACATCAAAGTGACTCGTTTTGCTCTTTTAATTTGGTAAAATCTTTGAAAAGAGGCGTTAATAAAAAACTCATATAAATATTTCCTTTGCATGTAGGCTTTTACACGTCCTAATATTAACCCTACCACTGCTTCGGGACATAAATGGGCCAGTGATGGGAATAAGCAGCACAAGAAACTTAGTCACTACTTAGTTAACATAATTGTTGCAATTCACGAAGGCGAGTGAGCTCTATATGTGTTGTGGCTCACTACTGTTCGTTTGTCAAAAGTTTTGATAGACATTACACTATCGTTATATGCATGTACACGTACACACACAAGTAAAGCTCACATGCTTTCGTGAGTTGCAAGAACTATACTCAGTATTTAGTAACTATGACTGAGTTTCTTGCGCTGCTTCTTCACAGCACTGGCCCATATTGTCCCGAAGCAGTGGTAGGGTTGGGAAGTGTAAAAGTGCTGTTTGAGAGTCTACTGCCCGTTTTCACCATCAATCCCTATGTTTAAAAGAGACCCCTTTAAAAATAAATTTCCTGTTAAATGTTACTATAGGTGTCACTTAAAAGTTAGGGAGTGATGGTGAGAACGGGCATACGTCTTACAAAATAAATGATTTGAATTTGAATTGTGATATTTTGTCGTTTGTGTTTTCTCCGTAATATTGTCTAATCTTAGATTAATAAAGCCTAGATAGATAGTCAGTGCACGAAAGGTGAGGCAGTTTTTAGGGAGCCGGCACGGCTCACCCGTAAACGTCACATGAACTGTCAAAGTGAAAAATTGGTAAACACGTTCGACGAATTTCAATTAATTAAAACGGTTTGTGCTGTGAAAGGGTGTCTAAAATACATCAGAAAAACGAAAGAAAGTGACCAGTGTTACATTTCATAAGTAAGTACTACAATTCGACGCGCATTTTGCTTGAATTTGGCTTTCAAACATTAAATACGGGAATGATACCAGTAACAAGAAAATTTATTTCCCAATTGTTCGCCGTACAAATACACTTCCTTTTTTATGAAATCGAGACTTTTAAGTCGATTTATCTTATTGTTATTAGGTAGGTACTTTGAATTCAATAAATAAGTAAGTACATGATGCGTTTTGTTTTTGTTAATTATAAAATAATTAAAAACGTATTAAAAATTTCCCTACTTTCGGGAAAATCGCCTTCACTGTCTACACTCCCCAACAAAATTGACACTAATGACATAAGATTTTTGCCTTACTCTTGACGAAGCGTTTGTATGAAGACTATCCATCTAGGTTTTATTAATTTAAGTGTCTAATTAATTGCGAATTTTGCGGTTTGCATTGAAGTAGTACGTAGTACACACGCCCACACTGTTAACTATCCATTTCCGTTTTTGCTCTCGCTCTAATCAAATGGCGATACATAGAACGAGATGACATGACTTTCAATGGGCAGTTAACACTGTTGGCGATAGTACATTAAAACTCAATGGCGGTTTGATCCCTTAGCCCTTACCACTATTGATTAATATACCTATTAGTCCCTAGTCCTTTTCCAAGGTCCTCTAATCTCTATTTCCCAAATTTTACAAAGAACACAGTAATCTTTGAAGGTAACAGACAGTTTCACATTTATAATATTTATGTAAGCCATTTGGCTCGCTAAATTTTTTGACTAATTCACAAGGGAAAAACTCGTCAAAAATATAAATGTCATATCCAATTGGTTTTCTTTACTTCTAATGACTTTGCACGAGTTCAAAAAGTTTATTAATAAGTTAAAATAGGCGACTCGATTTTACTTTTAAGGGACATGTTTTATTCGTTGCTAAGTTGCTATAAAAATTTTGTGATATGTTCTAAAACTTTGAAGGACCTTTTATCTTTAGGAACATTGTATGAGGAAGTTACCGTGGCGTATTTGAGGTCATTTTTCAGGAAGGCCCTGACATTTTTTTTTATGGATATAAGGCAGGTATTTGGTCACTATCGCACCTGACGTTAAGTGGGATGCAGTCTAGGATGGTACATAATATCTGCCCTGTAAGTGCCTATTCACTGTGTCATGCTATGATTTAGTGTCTGATAGTCCAAAATCCTGGAGGGGGAAGGGGGGGGGGCACACCATTCGGGGTGGGGGGCACCAAAAATTGGTGTAGTGAACAAATTGCTAATACATATTCCCAGTTAACTCATCTAACAAAGCTAAAGTTCACCAAAATAGGCCAGCGGTTAAAGAAGATCAAACTAGTGACGAAAGGTCTTCGATACCGAGACCATTGGCCTATTGTCACTTTTAGAGGATTTAACTCCTAAATTAGTTGAGTATCCGTATAATCCCGGCAACTTGGAAATCCCATTATTATCCTATCTGGTTGGTCAGACACTTTCTATAAGCCCACATCCCCTTAAAACTATATTGTAAATTGACCTATCTGTAGGCCCGAATCCCTTATCTGACGGAAATTCTAAAGTGAAACTCTAAACTTGTGCTTACCATGAGTTTACGTTAGGTGTGCTCGCTAGTGACTGCGTAAAAGAATGACATTAAATGGTATGACATATTGTGCAGCGCCCCTAGGGGCTACTTTCAAGAAATAAAATCTTGATAGATTTTTTTGACGTACCTACTCGCTAGCACACCTAGCCTAACGTAAACTCATGGTAAGCACACTGAATAGTAAATATGCCATGAGTGGGTTTTCTTGTCGAGAAAAACAAAGGCTTCCGCCTTTAAGTTGTTTTCAATTGTTTTTTTCAGAAGTTGCTTTTTCCTGTGATGCGGATTTCGTCACGCGTTGGATATTATAGTCTCTTTAATCTGTAGCGTGCGTATCTAAATATAATAACTCAAAGGTGACTGACTGACTGACTAACATAGTGATCAATCAACG